ACTCTTTTGCTGAGACGAGATTCGATTGCTTCGGTGGATCAATCTTCCCTCACAAAACTCCTATTGGTGTTTAACGACAGATCAACATTTCCTCACAAAATCCCTCACTGGTCAAATCAATTGACGGTGGGTCCACTAAGATTTCTATCCGCCAGTTCATGGCAATTTTCAAAGCTTGACGTGTTAAGTCCTAATCACTTAACATCAAAATCCTCCATCGAGTGGATAGTACAAACTAGTATTTCTACTGATACTTGTATTCCACTCCCTTTGCTTTCAGGTCAAACCTATAAAAGTTAGGGTCAAAGCCAGATTCCCCTCTCGATTCCTTCTATGAACGAGAGGTCCACTTTCAAATTGAGCAATCAAACTTATAAAAGTTAGGATTGTCACTAACTTTACTTAGTCAAACCTGCAGATAGTTAGGACTAAGATTGAGTTATCCCTTTCGATAAATGAAAGATTTTCATCTTTTCCTTTTTTCAGCCAAACCTATAAAATTTAGGGTCGAAATCGGAATTTCCCCTCAATAAATGAGGAACTCTTTTCTTGGATCAAGCAACCAATCCTATAAAAGTTAGGGTTACTTGAATCTTTCCGATTCTCGGAGTGGAGATCCCACTCCTAGTTTCATCTTTCCAGATTCTGGGGGTGGAGATCCCACCTCGAGTCTCCTTTCCAACTGGAGATAGAATATAAAATTCTTCCTCTTCAGTGTTGAGAGATAGAATATAAAATTCTTCCTCTCCCATTTCGGGTTCGTCTTTGTCCCAAGAGAAGACAACACTTTTTCAACTCCCAAAATCCGTGCCTCACAGGTACGGGAAATTTTATCCCGAATCCTGAATAGGGATAAGTCAACGCCTAACACGCGTTGCCGGTTTAGTCTTTCACCGATTGAAAAAGACACCAGAATCTAGTCTAGGGCATTTTATCCCGAAGCCTAAGTAGGGATAAGTCAGCGCTTAACATGTGTTGCCGGGTGGTTCGTTCCCATAAAAATGATCGAGTCTACGTATTCAGCATCGTAGCAACAAAAATCCATGCCTTTTATGCATGGGGAATTTTATCCCGAATCCTAAGTAGGGATGAGTCAATGCCTAACACGCGTTGCCGGGTGCTATATTCCCGTAAGAATGGCGAAGTCTATGTATTCAAAATCATAGCGCCAAGTCTAGGAGAATTAACTCTCTTAGCGCAACGTTACATGTGAAACGGGTTTTAATAATTCACATGCTAGCCCGATTCAAACGGTAATCGGTAAAGGCACATCAAACCCGTTAAAGGCTGGGGGTTTGCCAAAAATCCTAAAGTCTATGTCTAACACACATCGCCGGTTTAGTCTTTCGCCGACTGAAAAAGACACCAGAGTCTAAATCTGAGGAATTTACCCCGAAGCCTAAGAAGGGGTAAGTCAACGCCTAACACGCGTTGCTGTTTAGTCTACTCACACGAGAAAAACGAAGCCTATGTATTCAAAGTCATAGCACCAAGTCTAAGTGAATTAATTCTCTTAGCGCAACGTTATGTGCGGAACGGATCCAAAATAATCCGCACACTAGCCCGACTCAAACGGTAGTCGGTAAAGGCTCATCAAACCCGTTGAAGGCTGGGGGTTTGCCAAAAATACCACAAGTATTATGTTCGAGAGCTCCAATTTTCCGGATATCACAACTTGTGAACGCTCCAAGTCATCCTTCGCCATCCCCAAGATAGCCAAGGCCTCCATTTGATCCACCCGACTTTGTTGCGTTTGAATCTCAAGTCCAGCCGAAGCCCGAGTGTTGTGCCATGCTTGTAGACGAGATTCCATCCAAATGGCTATGTACGTTGAGCCACCAGCAGTCTTCAACTCTTGTAACCGTCGGAATTCGCGCTCCAGCTGGTCCAAAGCGTCAACATGGCTAATCTGTAACAAAGATCAACAACACAGTCAGATCAAGAATCAAGATATATGAATCAGAGCTTAAAAGGGAAATTGTGAATCTTCAACTGAAATTCTACAAGACGGATTTTTTCAGTTAAAGGTCCAATTAAACCTATACGGCATCCTCTATTCAAGTTAAAGTGAGAGGAAAATCAAATATACGGGTCAAGGAAATCAAACACCTCCTACATAGCTCACTGAATTATTCAAAATCAAAGCATGGATGTTGACTTAAGTTTTGAAATCATACATGCATACATACATAAGTTCAATTATATACAAGAGCTTGGCTATATACAAAGTTTGAGTTCAATCATGTACAAGTTCAGACCACACAAGAGTGCAATCATATGCAAGAATTCAGTTATGCTCGAAGCTCAAACCATATACAAGTGCAAATTCGGCCATGTATAGGTGCAACAAGGGGTCCGGTCGGCCATCATTCAACCGAGACCAAAGTTTGACTTCAACAACACACAAAGTTGAGAATTAAAAGCCTCAAGTGTTTCCCCTGAATTGAGAATTTGATTCAGTTCTTGTTCACGACCAATATCTCAATCACTAACCAAGAATTACAAAGTTCAGTCATATACAGTCCCCATATCATCAACCAAAAGCTCAACAAAAAATTCGGCCATGTGCAAGTTCAGGTTCCTCTTGTTTTATTTCTTGGTGTCAACAATCATGGGCAATCTGTGTTGCTAGGTTGCGGCTTACTTTCAGTTGCTGAGGTTTTTCATGGTGTGAGACACCGTCTATGCTTATACCATATAATGAAAAAAATGGCAGAGAGATTGAGGGAACATTCAACATACACAGAGATTAAGAAGACACTAATGAAAGTGGCTCTATCACCAAATATTCCAGGAACAACTTCCAAGGGCACCGCATGGCACAAACAGATAATGAGGCGGCAACCAATTGTCCATGAGTTCCTTTTCTTGCACTATGCACCTGTTTTCAGCGAAAGTTGACTCCATTATCGATTCCATTAAAACTTTGATGTGTTTACAGGAAATTATAATGAAAATAAACAAAAATACAACTCTCGAGAAAATAACACAGAAATTGTTTATCAACTCCTGCTTTGTGGGACTTTGCCTGTGCCGGGAGTGCTTTGGCTCGTTGACCACCGATTCACAGATCGTGAGGGTGTTTGGGGATCTTTCCTTCGTTTATCGAAGTAAAGATTTGAAAGTAAATATCTTATCGATGTAAGATGTTCACTCTTCTAAAGATTAAGTCTGAGCTTAGATCTCTAGGAATCACCAAATGATGCTTGTCAAAGGGTGAAAATTCTCTCTTTCTTCCTCAAAATTAACAAAAGCTCAAGTCTCTTCTGCTCCAAAATGCTCTCTGTCCTTTATTTCGTGTCTAGGGAGGTATTTATAGGGGTAGGAATGCACAACAGTTGAAACGGGGGCAAAATAACTGACCAGATAACTGTTCTTTGGCCGCTGCAGTCTACACTGCCGCGGCCATTGGCGCGGCAGTATGGACTGCCGCGGCCAAAGAGGCGGTTATCAGCACGTTCCATCGTGCCTAAAACTGTTCTCCCACGACCTTTAACCACCTTTTTCGTGGTTTAACTGCTTGTCCACGTCAGCACACGTTCTATTTCTGATATGTCGCCACGTGGGTCTCAAAACTCATCGTATAAATGCCTTGTAATTGCCACAGCACTCCTCTATAATAGCCGCGGCACCCTAAGCTGTCACGCCTAAGCCGCGGCACTATAGGCTGCCGCGCCTAAGGCGCGATACTCTGAACTGCCGCGCCTAAGGCGCGACTCTCTGAACTGTCGCGCCTAAGGCATGTCACCCTGGCTTGCTTGTTGGTGTATCGTTGTGTCTACACTGTTCTTTTCTCATCCTTGAGTAGTGTTTGGATATCTATGAGCATTTTTTGATGCCTACAACACCATACAAGAAAAAGAGTTTGCACAAGTCTAAGAGCATGTCTATAGTGAAAGCTCATTTGTTGCTCATCCGAAGATGTAGTAACTGCCTACACCAACTCAAGAAATCAGTATCGCCACAAATTTTCAGCCATGAACAGTCCAGAAATTCGGCCACCATCAAAATCCAAGACCAAATTTCGGGTTTTCCCAAAAATTCAAGAATTATGACTTCAACTATCAAGTCATGCGCACAACCAAATCCGAAATTCGGCCATCATCCCAATCCAATTTCGGTTTTCCCCAAATTGAAGAACTAGGGTTTTCAATCATTGAATTAAATCTTGGGGAATTAACTAAAAAATCAATGTAAGGGAATCAAAGCCATGAGAAAAGACTTACCCAAGTTCTTGAAGTTTGAAGGGGGAAGAAGACCTCAAATCGCCGAAACCCTAAGCTCGAATTTCCCCCTTTGCTCGGATCCAAGTCGGAAGAGGAGAGGAAGGAATCGGTGAGAGATTTAAAGGGTTTGGGGAGTTCTAATCTGGTTCGAATTATTGAAGCGGGGGAGTTCTCAAAGGACCGGAGCTTGAAGAGGATGAAGCCTGGGGGAATAGAGCTAGAACCGAACTTTGAAGAAAGAAGAGGAAGAACAAGAATTTTATCCCGAGTACACCCCTTTCGACCCGCGTTCTGCGGGTCGGATTCGTGTCCGACCCACGTGAGCGCGGGTCGGATTATTCTGACCCGCGCACACGCGGGTCGGATCCATCTGACCCGCGTGAACGCGGGTCAGACTAGGGGTGGCAAACGGGTCGACCCGACCCGACCCGACCCATATAAAATTTGACCCGACCCGTATAAGTGTGACCCGACCCGACCCATTTAATAAATGGGTCAATACGATCCAACCCGTTTATTAAACGGGTGACCCGACCCGACCCATATAACCCAAATGGTAGAGAATACTAAACATTTAGTATGGTTGTAGTAGAAACTTGCATATTCTATTGTACTCTTTTTAAGTGACTTATGCACACAGAAACCATGTTACTATTTCTGATATGTTTATAAAGATTCACTGCAAATTTTTGACCTATGCACATTTGGAGATAAACAAAATAATAAACAAATCATCATAAAAAAATGAAACATAAACAAAACCAGGCATAGATATTGTACTCTTTTAAGTGAAATTCTTTCAAAATAATGAATGGCTACAATGTCATTCTACATACATACGCATCAAAAAAAAATGGAGCAAGATTACTCCCATTAGAATGTTATACAGGTTCACAAACAGATTCATTTCAAGCTCTCTGCAACAAATCCAATTTCACAAACAGGTTCATTTCAAGCTCTCTGCATATTCTATTGCTTTCTTCTTGACGTGTTTAATTCTTTCTTCATCACGCTGTGACTTTTCATAGCCGAGATACTTCATGAATGTGAACTGCAAATTATTCGAAAATAATTAAATTATTCGAAAATAATTTGATAAAGAGGGAAACGGCACAAGAAAGTAAAATTGAATGCTGAGAATATCAGAACTTGGTGTAATTTCAGTATTCCTAGAATATGGAGAATATCAGAACTTGGTGTAATTTCAGTATTCCTAGAATATGCTACCAAAAAGGTAAACTATTGATTACATACCTCAAATTAGAGATGAATGAAAGGTAAACTATTGATTACATACCTCAAATTAGAGATGAATGACCAGAATAATACCTCAATGAAATAGCCAGGACCTGCACGTTACAAAAATTTTAGCGGTACGTGAAGCTGAAGGAACTTTAAAAACAATGAAAAAGAAAACAGAAATGCGCTTCTGAGAGGTAAAGTTGTCAAATGTGTAGTCTGTGTTCATTCAGTGTCTAATGTCTCTGCTCATATTTAATCTGACCTCAATTCATCAAACATTTAATACCTCTACCGAAACTTAAAATGCACATGTCCACTAGGGTTCAATCTCAATGTCTCTGCTCATAAACATAGATAAACATTGAGTATAAAGAGGAATATATCAAAGTGATTCAGCAAGAGAATTCGAAAGCCAAAGCTCTGAGTGGAACATTGTAATGGGACTCTGCTACTTAGTTCCAGCATCATTAGGGGTGTCCAAACACTTTGTTATTACCTATTGCTACCCTAAACAACATTCAGTATCTCAACAAAAGAAGAAATGGACAGAGGGAAATTTAATATACAGTCATAAGAATATATATTAGCTGAATGATTGTCACCTAGTTTATATGAACCATTCTGGATGTCATTTGACATGATCAAGTAATTTAATATACAACTAAGTTTCATGAAAAGTACAAGTTTTACAACATAATTAGCAGTTTAGCACTCATTTCATTAACAAAAACCAGTTATTATTATTATTATGAGGAACAGGTAATGGTTAGGGAAATAACATTATCTCAAAGTGAAACCAACATATAGGCTGATTTGAGGTTCATAGATAAAGGCTGAGTGATGGTTATCCGCATGAAGAAGGCAACAGTTGAGAAAGTTGAAGTAAGCTTAATGATTACAAACCGAGTACAGGATACAGTAGCAATGTTGAGTGTTCCAAGAACTTTGGCGAAAAAGCAAGTGTTCTAGACTACTAAAAATTTTAGAACAATGCAGAAGAAAAGAATACAACTTACTACAACCAACTGCAATATGGCACGTAGTATACAGTTCAATTAACAGTTGCCTGTGAACATACCCAGAATTCAAGTAGCAACAAAGGCATTGATTATTTATTGGTATATCAGCCTATGTATCAACTAAGAGGAAACTTTGAGCTACAAAATATCAGTTAAAATATAGTAGACTAATTAAACTTACAGAAAAAGAAAGCTGAGCATGAATCTCTATTGTAAAATGAGAGAAGTGTGAACTTCTTGGATGAGACATCAATTTGGTAACTAAACTGTTATATTTAGTGAAACAAGTTCTTACCTTCAGCTACCGCATCACAGTATGAGAGATTCATACTTGTGTTGGCATACATTTAGTGAAACAGGTGGTACATTTAGTTGCCAAATAAACATTGACAACTTCAAATAGAATGGCTCCCATATAACCCCAAATGCTATTCAATCATATAGACTATGCAACATTTATATGCGGCTTTTTTAATTTATAAATAAACAAAAAATTTGGAAACTTCTTTAATAACAATGAGAAGGGTTTTTGCTCACTTTTCAGTCAAACTCTTGGATGATAACAAATTCAACAAAAAAAAGTTTAAAATTATTCATCAAGATTTCAATCGTACGTACCAGATCAAAGAATGTCACACAATTTGAGGGAAAATTTGGAAATCCAATATTAACAACAGGTCGTACGTACCAGATCAAAGAATGTCACACAATTTGAGGGAAAATTTGGAAATCCAATATTAACAACAGGTATAAAGCTTACAACAACAAAATAAACCCTAATAATCGTAACAAAATCAAAAAGGAAAAAAGTAAAAAAAAAATTACTCCTCAAGATTTCACCCGTGATCACCAAATCAAAGGATCAGATACAAACTGATAACGAACAGGCAGAAATTTCTTTTGATGTGGAGAATGAGGAGAGTCTAAAACCCTAGAAATTACCACTTTCTCAAAAAAAAAGGCAAAACTTGCAAAATTGGAAAAAGTGAGGGGGCTTGACCTGAGCGATGTTGACGATGAAATTTCGGAACCTGGGATGCCGACCCGCTTCCTTCTTCAACCTCGACGCGATGGGTTTGCAGGCCGTCTTCAGTGCGAGCGTAGCTTCGAGGATCGCTGCCGCTCGTCGCCCCTCGCCGCTCGAGAGGAGAGAGAGAAATCTAGGGCTTCGTTTGAGAGAGACGAAGGGTTAGTCGGGTCTGTAGAGGTTCACTTGGGTAAATTCGGGTTAGACGAGTCAGTAGACGGGTCAGTAGATCAACCCATCTAATAAACGGGTAAATTCGGGTTCACCCATTTATGACCCAACCCATATAACTTGACCCATACCCAATATAAATGGGTCGGGTCGGGTTGGGTTGATGGGTTGGGTCATAAATTGCCACCCCTAGGTCAGACCCAGTTCAGTGCCCGTTTTGCTGTATTTTCACCTGTTTTCGCCCGTTTTTCGAATGTTCGGAGTCTAACCTCATCTCCCGGATAATTTCGCGGCATTTTCGCTCATATTTGGAATGTTCAGAGTTCAATTTCATCTCCTGGATAATTTGGCGACATTTTCACTCAGATTTGGAATTTTCGGAGTTCAATTCCGTCTCCCAAATAATTTCACGATATTTTCGCTTATTTTCAGAATATTCAGGATCCAATTTTATATTTGGGTGATTTCGTGATTTTTCGCCTATTTTCGGAATGATCGAGACCTAATTTTATATTTTTGGGTGAGTTTGCGATATTTTCGCCTATTTTTGGAATATTCGGGACCCAATTTTATATTTTGGGTGATTTCGCGATATTTTCGCCTATTATCGGAATATTTGAAATCCAAACTCCAACGGGTACATGAGTCTAAATTGTTTCCCATCTTGACAGGAAGTTCCTGGAGAATAGAAATCCAAACTCCAACGGGTACATGAGTCTAAATTGTTTCCCATCTTGACAGGAAGTTCCTGGAGAATATTACATATAATAATTCTTAAGGATAACAGGAAGTTCCTGGAGAATATTACATATAATAATTCTTAAGGATAACCTGGCAACCTCCGACGGGTACACGAGGCTAAACTAATTCTTGAAACTCCCAGGAGTACAAGAGTATAAACTGGTTCTCCTCAAGATAATGCGAAACCCTAAGTCAACGCCGCTCAACGCGTTGCGATTGATCCAAAAGTCAACTCAATAACACATCAACAAAAATCTATTCACCAAATTCGGTTCAAGGCTTCAATAATGGTCAGACGATAAACGCAGTACCGGGAAAATCTTAGCTATTCGACAAAATACGGAATATGCTGAAATATGGATAAGTCAAGAATCGAAACCATTTGTAAATCCTTTAACACCGACTGAAGGTGGGGATCCATCATATCCAAAGCATTTCAGACTCCTCTATAAAAGAATAAGGCTGAAACACTTTGGAGGGAGTATCTGTAGCCGTCTAAAATTGCCTATGAGAGCCCGCACGAAACTCGAAGCAATGAATGGGCGAGTCAAGAAAATTCGCCAATCAGTCAGCACACGTCAAATCATCTCGTGCGCGTCGGTCAGCAGGTGCACGTCAACCAGCTCGTGCGCGTCGGTTAACACGCACACGCCAATCAAGTCCGCGTGTATCGATCAACACGCGTATATTAACTAACGCGTGTTCGACGGTCGGTCTCGCGGCGAAGCATACAAGTCAACAAATCGACCAAACACGCGAAAAGAACAAGTCTCGGAAGAAAGGGAACATAAAAGAATGAGTCGGCAAAACTGCGCGAGTGCAGGACGGAATAAACCGACCCGCGCAAGTGCGGGACAGATCAATCCGACCTGTACAAGTGCAGGTCGGATCAATCCGACCTGCGCAAGCGCAGGTCGGACTGATCCGACCCACGCAAGCGCAGTACGGAACCCGAAACGCGTTTTGACGGGTTTGATGCTGTTTTTGCAGGATTTATCTGTTCCAGGGGTTTCTAACTGACTTGATATCATCCCCAAACGTGGTTAGGCTGTTGTTAACTGAAGATAGAGCCAAATTACTTGTTCTCATCCAAATAACCGATTTCGAAGCCCTATAAATACAAGCCTAGGGCCTCCTTTTAGCGAGGACGATTGATTATCAAGACGAGGAGGTGCTGCCGGATTGTGGAGTCAAAGGAGCACGAATTTCAGCGAGGGTTGACAGATCTTGGCGAGTTCTTCGGCATAAAGAAGGAGAGTTCGAGAGATCCGACGCCCGTTCCCGTCCGTCCCTTGAGATTAGGCTTGGTCTTAATCTCGAGAAGAGCCCTGATTTCGCTTGGTCGATCTTAGCTCTTCAAATCAAATACTTCCTCGGTGAAGACGAAGCTCTGCCAAATTTTTTATCAACCGGATCCAGATCAAAGGCGGTCCACGGATAAACCCCGGCACAGGCAAAGATCCCACGCAAGCAGAAGACCGATAAACGATCTCCCTGCGTTTGTTTGATAAAGTTGTAAACTTGTTTTATTTTCATTGTGTAAGGAGATCTTATAAAAAGATCAACTTTTTTATTTTATTCGAGTTCATTGTAATGACTAAAGTTGTAATAGATTCGATCGCAATGAATACAACAATTTTCGACGCAAATAATGCACATCTAATATAGTTGAACTAAGGTACTCCTAATAATTTCCTCTATGAGGAAAAGTGGCTTAGCTTGATTTTATCTCCTGGATAACTGGACCTGAGTAGGTGAGATGTCCAACTTATGCAACCAAAGCACCAAGAATCATTTAGAGGACATGCAACTAATGTGTTGATGTGGAGAAAGGGGCCCACCCTCTCTAGCTCTTGCATGCGTGCATGTCTGTTTGCCCTACTGTACGCAGCTGCATGCCATGGGGAAGGAATGGTAGCCAATTATTTGGTGAGAGGAGAGGACGATTTTTTTTGGATTCTATTAGCTGTCACTGGAGATCACACGCAAAATTATTTGTATTTTCAAGTGTTGTACGCTTATGTGAGAAATTTTGGTAGTCCTCTGGGTCTGTTGGAAGACCACCTAATGATTAGGGGGGTCAATGAAAAGACACCTAATTTGCTAATTAAGAATTAATCAGGGCGCCATCTTAATCACAATCAGTTATACTCTCAAAGTATGAAACGTATCACATAGAGATAGAGGTGACTTCAAGATAAATGTCCCAGACATGGTAAGTTGGAGTTTTGGATTAAAACCAAAATATCAAGGTTTTGAAAAATTATACACCGAATGATATTCACTTGACAGTTGGTGGAAGAATATGTTAGATATTTTGTTAAGAAAAGACAATTTTGCCTTCACGAATAGTAATAAAGTTTTATAATTAAAACATGTTTTAATTAGCAATTAAAAATATGTGTAACGGATATATAATTATGGGGAACGTTACAAAATTTATGATGAACGTTACAGAATTAATTACGGGTTTTGTAACGTCTTTTCCAACCCTATATATATATATATCCATATGTTGAGCTCAAAATATAAGGAAAAATATACAACAAGTTTCTCTTGTTTTTCTTCTCTCCCATACATATTATTTTCATCTACATCTTAGTTTTATTTTATGGGCAACTTCCTTCATCTGAGCTGAAGCTCTGCACTCTCGCCCGAGTGTAGAGGCCGGCCGTTTCGGGGGGTTTTTACCTCTAGGGGGAGGGAACCATCTGCGCCAGGGCGATAGGCGGGTTCTCAATCTTCTAGGGCAGTGAATACACGATTGCTCCCGTTCAGGCCAGTTTTAATTGTTTAATTTTTCGGATTTATCTACATGCTATAATCTTAATTATTTGATAAAATTTCCAACAATCTAGAAGATTGAGAAGTTTATAGCTTTGATTTAAATCTGAAATTATTTTAAAGTTACTGTTCATTCGAGATTGTTACTGTTCATCCGAATTAAAAAAAACAGAAAGAAAATTGATTATCTTTTTGTTAAAAAAAAAAGTTTTGTTACTGTTAAAAAAAACAGAGGAATTTTATAGTTGTTGTTAACACAAAGAAAATGTAATTGCTTTAATTATATATTTGCTTATCTATTAATTAACTTTTTGTTAAAATAAAAAAAATAGTTTATTAATCAATGATGTTACTGTTTAATTTTAAAAATGATGTTACTGTTCATTTATTTTGAAAACGGTACTGTTCATTTGATTAAAAAGTTACTGTTCATGTAAACAGTTTTGGTTATTTTAAAAAAATAATAATTAAAAAATTGTAGCTAAATATTTCTGTTAATTTAATTTAACAGTTAATTACATTTGTCTTATAGTTGGTTTATAATCAATAATTATTGTAAGTTACGAATATCAAACAACCTTTATTGGTTTCTAAAAGCCTAGTTTATATTTGTTAGAATCATCTAAAACCTACCCTTATTCCCTTGTGCTAGTGAATATGCTCGCATTTGAAACATGCTATAAATTTGTAGCAATGCACATTTTTATTCTTAAAAATTTTATATGCATGGTTTTGACAAGAATAAAGAGAACAAACTCTGGATGCATAGATGCTTTGAAATATCTGGATTTGTTCATGGTTTAATACTATTATTTCTTTAAGCTATCAATAATATGGTGCATTCTATTAATAATTCCATACTTTAGTGTATTTATGCATCTAATAAGCTTAGTACAGAAGGTGGTAAAAGTGAATGCAAATTTGTTCAGCAACTTCTGTGGCAGTTGTCTGCAGCAGATATGTTTTTACTCTCAAGACATGAAAATCATGAGGTTCGAACATCAATAAGTAAACCCCTCATCGGCCTTATCTAACATATGTTTGCAGTATAATTGCTAGGCATTTTAAATGGTTACATGAAATAATTTAAAGTTTCTATATACTGTTAAGGAACAAAACTCATTGAGTGAACCGATTCAAGTTTTCTTGGATTAGTTGGTGTCTAAGGCAAGGTTTAAGGGTTGCGTAACGCGCTCTGCAAGGAACGAGGTACTTAATTGATCTTTGATCAACCTCTATTACTATCCTTACCTGGCTAACTACCCGGGTAAAACTTTAATCTTTTTACTTTAGGAGTTTTTGGAATAAGAGGACCGGAATTATGAGAATAATTCATATGTATTTATTTCTTCTTGCATCATATATTGCCTAAT